TCCCACAATAATGATTTCTATGTGCAAAACATGCTTATGTTTGTATGTTTATTACAAAAAAATGGTACAATAATCATTAATTGTCAATTTTGTCATTAAATACTACACCAAATATAAAAAAATAGGATCATTAAATTTCTCGTAAAAAACTGGTTATTATGAAGTTATTTTAAAATTTGTAAGTTCAACCGTTTGGTTTCCTATAGTGAACAAATAAACAAACTTCCTCTTTTATATATATAGATTATACAATGTAAAACTTTGGTGTTTTTCATATCTAAAAGCAACTACGACAGAGAAATACTGAAATGATCCTGATTGTGTTCATGGTTCTGATTATCTTTAAAGAGCAGAGAATGTCATCTACTGCTGAAAGTCAACTATTAAATTTTACACGTTACGTTTTGTACCTGGATAAATATCAACACAATTAAATTTCACAACATCTACTTTGATAAGCAGTAATGACTTAAAGCATGATTTTATTAGAGATCTCTACTGTTTGATTTATTGTTTCAAAACCCGCTCCTAAACACAGCTACTTTTGTCAAGTATTTATATTCAGTAAAAAAATTGTCTCAATAACTCCGGAAGCCCACAGAGAAAAGTGAATTTAAATTAAACACTGAAAGGTTTTATTCTTCAATTATGTCAACTACAGAAGTTCTTTAATCATTCTACGTAGGCATACAACGTCTGTGAATGTAACTTTCGAACATCATCTTTTGTCAAATTAGTGAGCACCTTCTTCTTGTCTCGGGATGATGCCAGAAGAACTCTTCTTCCTTGCAGACCAAACACCACTTGCACCTGAGAAAAATGATCAAAGAAAAGTTGTCACAGTCAAGGAACTGTTCTTTTAGAGCACAGACATTACGAAGAGCTAGTTTAGGAAGTTATTACACCATTATTAATGTGAGTGATAATAAAATAAATAATGAAAACAAACTTAACACAATCAGCTATTTTTAACCCTATGCTACTGAATTAATCTTGTTCTGCTTAGTTTAACTCTTCTTAATGAAAGTGATGCTATTAACCAAGTTGTTTCTGTCTAATCTTACACGAGGATTGCCACAAAGCTGTAAGACTCGCTTTTAAATAACTTGATTAATAAAAAACTTTGTACAAAATACTTGTAACTCTTCATCTAAACTAGTTATTCTCATATAACACCTGAAACTGTAGTTACTTCTAACTCTTCATCTGTTATATGAGAATAACTAGTTTAGATGAAGAGTTAGAAGTACCTGAAACTGTAGTTACTTCTAACTCTTCATCTAAACTAGTTATTCTCATATAACACCTGAAACTGTAGTTACTTCTAACTCTTCATCTAAACTAGTTATTCTCATATAACACCTGAAACTGTAGTTACTTCTAACTCTTCATCTAAACTAGTTATTCTCACATAACACCTGAAACTGTAGTGACTTCTAACTCTTCATCTAAACTAGTTATTCCCATATAACACCTGAAACTGTAGTTACTTCTAACTCTTCATCTAAACTAGTTATTCCCATATAACACATGAAACTGTAGTTACTTCTAACTCTTTATCTAAACTAGTTATTCTCACATAACACCTGAAACTGTAGTGACTTCTAACTCTTCATCTAAACTAGTTATTCTCACATAACACCTGAAACTGTAGTTACTTGTAACTCCTCATCTAAACTAGTTATTCTCACATAACACCTGAAACTGTAGTTACTTCTAACTCTTCATTCAAACTAGTATTTCTCACATAACACCTTAAACTGTAGTTACTTCTAACTCTTCATCTAAACTAGTTATTCTCACATAACACCTGAAACTGTAGTGAGTTTAACTCTTCATCTAAACTAGTTATTCTCATATAACACCTTAAACTGTAGTTACTTCTAACTCTTCATCTAAACTAGTTATTCCCATATAACACCTGAAACTGTAGTTACTTCTAACTCTTCATTTAAACTAGTTATTCTCACATAATGCCTGAAACTGTAGTTACTTCTAACTCTTCATTTAAATTAGTTATTCTCACATAACACCTGAAACTGTAGTTACTTCTAACTCTTCATTCAAACTAGTATTTCTCACATAACACCTGAAACTGTAGTTACTTCTAACTCTTCATTCAAACTAGTATTTCTCACATAACACCTGAAACTGTAGTTACTTCTAACTCTTCATCTAAACTAGTTATTCTCACATAACACCTGAAACTATAGTTACTTCTAACTCTTCATCTAAACTAGTTATTCTCATATAACACCTTAAACTGTAGTATTAGCTTCCTGTTTTCTGTTGTCCAGTCTTATTTTAACCAAATCGTTCAAAAATTAGAGAACCAACAACAGAATAGTATACTAAGTCATACATTGCCATTATGTAAACTTACCTGTTTTACTAACTCACTGAACGTCAACTCGAAGTCTCCTACAGGGTTCTCCAAAAACACTGTGGCCTTGCGAGATGTAGCTCCCATCCGTGGCTCCGAGTCACACAGCTCGATATTGATGTACCTGGATAGAATAAAAGATGTAGGGATGATCTTGTATATTACATTCGTGTAGAATGAGTTAATTAAATAAACTTATTCACAGTACTCGGAATAAAAAAAAAACGAAAGTTTAGAATAAAATTATCATTTTTTGATGAAAGAAATTTTTGAAATGTCTTATTTAATATACTTGACAAGAATGTTATAAAATTTATAAAAAACAATGTAAAGACTGTCTTGGTTCTATGTTATAACATTTCTTATAAATTCTCACAAATATATATATATAACATTCTTCAACATTCAGATTCCATTATGATTTGTTATTTTTTTATGAGTAAAAGTGTTACATACTTGCAAAATGGAAGTCCGTTTGTTGAACTAAACTGAGAAGTTACATTTTCGGGTGAACTGGAGTCAGCAGGAGTGTCATCCACACCACCCTTAACAATCACCATCTCTAAACTAGCACCTTTAAGCTAAAACAAGAAACAAACACACACGTGGAATGTAAAAAGATATGTTTGTTTCCATCAATCCTATAATTCTTTAATAATGATCTAAGTGTGATACTACAGATTTTGTTTTACATTCTGTGATGAAGACCAGAATGACATAACTGTATAATAAGACCAGAATGACATAACTGTATAATAAGACCAGAATGACATACCTGTATAATAAGACAAGAGTGACATAACTGTATAATAAGACAAGAGTGACATAACTGTATAATAAGACAAGAGTGACATAACTGTATAATAAGACAAGAGTGACATAACTGTATAATAAGACAAGAGTGACATAACCGTATAATAAGACAAGAGTGACATAACCGTATAATAAGACAAGCGTGACATAACTGTATAATAAGACAAGCGTGACATAACCGTATAATAAGACAAGCGTGACATAACCGTATAATAAGACAAGAGTGACACAACCTTATAATAAGACAAGAGTGACACAACAGTATAATAAGACACGAGTGACACAACTGACTCTTGTCTTATTATAGAGTGACATAACTGTATAATAAGACAAGAGTGACATAACTGTATAATAAGACAAGAGTGATATAACCGTATAATAAGACAAGAGTGATATAACCGTATAATAAGACAAGAGTGATACGAGTGACATAACCGTATAATAAGACACGAGTGACACAACAGTATAATAAGACACGGTTATGTCACTCGTGTCTTATTATAGTTATGTCACTCTTGTCTTATTATACAGTTGTGTCACTCTTGTCTTATTATACGGTTATGTCACTCTG